ACGGGTTTTGCTTTAGTAGGAATATTTTTTTCTAAAAATCTTTCTTCATAGGGTAATTCGATTTCAAAAGTATTTCTATTCCAAAAGGCATTAGGAACCTCTGCACATACTTCTTTTATAATTTCTTGTCTATTTTTCTAAATGTGGTGATTACTTCGGGATTCTTTAATTGTTCTTCTATTCTTTTATAAGTTGTTTCTTGTTTTAAATATTTTATATGGGTATTTTTAACTTCTAGTTTTAATAAAAAAATTTCTTCATTTACATCAGTAACTAATTGTATTTCTTTATTTTTTATTGGTTTAATAAATTCGAATAAAAGATTTTTATATTTTATTCCTTGTTCGATACTTCAAAAGGGTAAATTAATGCTAAAAATGGTGTTCCTAATATCATTTCTTCACTAATATCAGGAGTTAATATAAAAGTATTTTTAAAACAAGTTCCCTTATTACATATGCTTGCATTTGACAATTTATATTTTACTTTTAGTTTTTCGAATTTGCGGTTCTTAAGGTTTGTAATGTTTTTTCATAAAATTTGGTAGGTATTACTCCTTCTCTTATACAATTTATGTCAGCTCCAGAATCTACTAAAGCTGTAAATTGTTTATGAAAACTGTTTCCAATTTTTAATGTAGCTTTTATATGCCGTTTTTGTTGTAGAATTTTTAGTTGATTAACCTTCTCGGAGGTTGATTCATTATTTAAGATATTTTTATTGTTTATGATGTTTATTTTTTCTTCTTGAATTTCATTTTTTATTTTTAATTCTACTAATTTAATTTTGATTTCTTTAATTTCTTCTTTTAGATAGTTTATTTCTTTTTGTAAATCTTGTAAGTTTACATGTTTTTCTTTATCTATTGCTTTTCGTAATATTTTGGAGAAATCATAACCATTTACTTCAGGTTGACTGGTTTCGGTTTCCTTTTCTCTTAATATTAATGTTTTTAACTTAGTTAAATATTCTAGCTTATCTTCTTCTGTTGTAAGTTTATCTATCATTTCTAGAGTTATTTTAGTTTCTGTAGTTAAGACATTAATATTAAACATGCATTCACAATTTTCTTCACTCTCATCTTCACTTAAATTAGTAGTAGGTTCATCTTCACTGCTGCTAGGTTCTATTAAATTATTAATTTCTTCTTCTGACTCATACAATAATATTTTTTCTATTTGATTTTTAGTTTCTTCACTCATATCTAAATTTTGTATTCTTTCTCTTACTCTACAATCTTTTTTCATGTGTCCGTATCTTCCACATTTATAACAAACTATTCCTTTTTTAGGATTAGGCTGATTATTACTTGTGGATGGATTTGTTCTTATTTTTCTTTTAAAATTTTTAGGGCTATTTCTATTATTATTTTGAGAAAACTTTCTTTTAATTATTTGTTTCTTCTTATTTTTTCTGGAAGGGGGATCTAATTTTTCGTATCCATATTGTACACAGAAGTTTCCTAATTCTTTTGTACCACTTTCTTGTTGTCTTTTAATTTGTTTTTCTAGTTTTAGATTATTACATATTTCTAAAGCAGTATTTTTAATGGTGGAAATTATTTTTCCGTAGGTTATTTCTTGTAAAGGTTCTGCATATTTTTGGTCTAGTTTTTCTCTTACTTTTATGGCGAACACTGGGGGTAATCCCGCAATAAATCTTTCTTTCCAGAAGGTTTCTTTATAGTCTGTTCTAGTCATTACCATAATTATAAAATTATCTACATACCATCTAAAATCTCCTAAAGTGGGACATCTTAGATTATAAAGCAAGGTACTTGTTTTTTCTTCAAAGGTATTAGAATCTCCCATAAAATTATGAATAATTGATATTATTAATGTTTCTACCATTAGGGGTATTTGATTATTTCCTTCTTGTTTTACTGCAGTTAAAATAAATCTTCTTTGATCTGCCGTTAGATAATTTTCCCACCATCCTTTTAAGGAGCCAATAAATCCTAAGATTAACAATTGTATTGTTTATTTTTCTGAGTTTTTTGCTCTATAGGTTGAGGCAGCCATGACCATTTCATTTATTTTTCTTAATAATTGATAATCGGTTAATTCATCTATGTTCCATTCCGTTATTCCCATTCCATTAAAGGCGGATGAACTTTCTAAATTCCATTCTTCGAATTGTATATCTGACAGTGTGAGTCTTCTATAGTAATTTCTAGTGGTTGGCATATTATGGGTGGTTGGACTTGTATTAAATTTATTTCCTATTTTATTTATGATTTCTTCATAATCTATATTTTCGAGGTTTCCTAATTCTTCTTCGGGAATATCTATTACATTTAGTTTTCTTACATTTAGTTGTTCTAATTTTAAATTTATTTCTTCTAATATTCTATCTCGATTGATTTCCTATTTTAAATTCTTTATATTCTTTATCAGATAATCTTATAGGGTTTATTAGTGATTTTTGTAAGTCAGTAATTCCTAATGGATTTTTATTACTTGGAGAACTTTCTTCTTCAATAGTTTTTTGAGCTATTTGGTATAATATTTGGCTTGTAAAATTTAATTGACTGTGTAAATTTTGAATATCATCTATATTAGGCGTATCATTGCTATTTCTTTTTTCTCCTATCATTTTAAAGGGTGATGCAATTACTTCTTTGTTTTCGATGTTAGGAAATTTTACTTCTTCTAACGGAGGGATTTTACTAATGACTTCTCTATTTTTTGTTTTCCATATTTTTTCAAGCATTTTGTATTACATTAATTTGTAGGTTTTCTAAGCATTTTTCTTCAAACCATTTAAAATATGGTATATTTTCTTGAATTAAATTTAAATACTCATAATATTTTTCTCAGTATTCTTTTAATTCATTTTGAGTAAATGTTTTAAAGAACCATTCTCTTTTTTCTTTATTATTTTCATCTAAAAATTCTTGTCTTAATAATTCTTTATTTATCTCAAATTTTGTGATTACGTTTATCATACTATCATCTTGTTGTATTTTAGAGGCAGATGGAGAATTATGTGTTTCTAAGTTTTCATATTCGTATTTTGGCATTGGTACTGTGGGGTCGTCTTTTATGCCTTTTAATTTTAAACTTCTATGATGTATTAGACTGGATTGATCTATTGATCTTCTAGCTATTAGAAAAGTATTTTTACTAGTTGTTCCTCTTTGTGAATTTATTCTTCGAATTGGGGCAAAAGATACTTCTACTGTTCCCGATTTATATTCTGTTATATTTTCAACTTCTACTGGTTCTGGGGGTTCTGGTTCTAATAAATCTTCTAATCTCCAACTAAGTCCACTATATATTTCAGTATGTTTTAAAGTTTTTGGTATTACGGCGTTAACCTTTTCTGGATTTACTAATAACATAGTTGTTTCATCTTTTGGAGACATTAATAAGTCTCCTGGTGCTAGTTGGGTTTTCATTATTTTATAATAAATTCTATATATTATTGTTATGGGTATTGATTTGGGATTCCATACGTTTTCAGGGATTTTTATGTCTAGTATTATATTATTTTCTGTATTATGCAGACTTTTAAGAGCTATTGAATAATTTGGGTAATTGTTTATATATACTGGTCCATTATGCAGGTTAGTTTCAAACCTTGCTAATATCTGATTTTCAAGTTTTACTAGTCTATTATCTCTTAAGGCTACGAACATAGGTGTATCTATACCTTTTCTAAAGAGAGATTTTATTGCTATTTGTACTGATCCTATATGAAGATATCGATATTCTTTTATATGTTCTGCTATTAAGGATTTAGTTATTAATGGTATTTTTTCATGGCTTGATAAAAGTTCTATTTCTTTATCTATTGTTTTTACTATATGTTCTGATTTAAACATGTCTTTCCAGTTAGTTTTATAGATATTCGATATTTCTAGTTTGGGAAGAGTCCATTTATTCAACTGATTTTCTATTTTTGGGATTATTAATTCATGATGTACTAGGTTCATATTACTGGTTTCTTCTTCTGTATTCTTATTTTCTTCTAAATTTTCTTTTCCCTTAGATAAAAGTTTTATTAATTTTGTCATCCTAAGGCCAAGGTCTAAGATGTACGGGAACACCACAGGGTTTACTGTCAATTACTGGACTTATAACCTAAACCGGCTTACCAACGCTCATCTACCCTCAAAGACTCTTAGACAAGGTTTGATTAATAAAAAAATTTCTAATGAAAAGTTTTAAGTTGTCAGAAAATAACAATTCAGAAAGAATAATCAGTTTTATAAACAAAGTACGTGGTTTTGTTAATTCACACTAAATTATCAGGATTTGAACCTGACATATGTGATCTGGATTGACCTATTATGCATCAAGCAACCCAATCGGGAAGACTTAAATACTCAGTTTTTCAGCCGATATACTTTTATTCAAGCAAGCAATTTTCTCGATGTGGAGGATCGGCCTAAACCGCAACCACAAGTGCATACTTATTTCAAACCAACAGATATTATCAGCGCAAAATTGTTTTCTTTGGCTCTGATACCATTTCTGGCACCAGTGCGCATATAAAAGCGGAAGAGCAAAGAAGTGATAATAAAAGAAGAGAAGAAGTTATTATTTATGAAAATTATACCATTTCTGGCACCAATACGCATATAAAAACGGAAGAGCAAAGAAGTGATAATAAAAGAAGAGAAGAAGTTATTATTTATGAAAATTATGCTTACAATATTCAATATTCAAGTAGAAGAGAAGGGAGGGCTGGGAATTTAGGCTATGAAGGAGTTGGTCGAGGAAAATCGAGTTTAAGGCTCTAAGAGAGTTGTAAATTTTACTTCAAAGAAACAACTCGACTCTTTTATAGACCTAATATGTTCCTCTTTGACAATACAACCTGACACACTAAACATAAGTGGCCAACCAAAGAAATAATTACATGGACACCTAATATATATATATATATATATATATATATATATATATATATATATATATATACACACACACATAGGGCCTCTATCGACCAGCATAACATGGGAAATCTAGTAACAAGTTCTTTTGCAGTCCTACTCACTTTTGGCTGCTTTTGAGTTGTGGACCCTTTTGAGGGGAGATAGAGAAAACATGTGAAATATTGCCCTTTTCTGGATTTCCTTCAATAATTGATAACGTTTGTTCGTCTAGATCGATGAGGGCAGTACAAAGTGTGTGAAGCAATGGACCTGAGTGAGAATAGGGGAAAGAAAAAAAGATCATAATATATGGACTTGAAGGGATTCAGATGCGAGATATGTTTGATTTACCTGTCATGTAGATAGGATAGTTTTTGTCATCCATATCTCCCAGAAGTGACAGGAAATCATCTTTCGAATTTTTGGACAAGACAGATGCCCTTTTCTGCCTGCTGATTGAATTCTCGTCTTGTACCTTCAAATGAAATCCAAATGATGTTTTAGTCCAAGATACACATGTTTCACTCATGGATTTTTTTGCGATATCAACCATTTGATTGATGAAGTGAATTAAATTGGAACACTTCTAAGCAACAAAATATGCTCATGTGATTTGGTACGCAGTGGTCTGAATCAAACAAATGCAAAACAATATTCTATATCACTTGCCTGATTAATAGATAGGTGGAGGTACATGTTTGCATGGAAGAAAGGTTTTTTTCCCACCTCATGAACTGACATTCTTTTCCTGGATGCAGTTTCAACATTACAAATCCTGCGTGTGCTTATTTCTATCAGGTTATAAGAATGTCCCACAGAAACTTCTGACGATTGAATCCTCTAATGAAATAAGAACATAATAAGAAAACACTAAACTTGTGAATTCACTAATATGGAAAGTAAAAGGATGCAAAATCTGACACTCATTGCATCATCCATGCTTGTAGCTTCAAGAAGGTCTCTAGAAATGAAGTTGCGCCCAATACCACCAGCTACGATTTCATCTTCAACAGGGGGTACAGAATCCAAAGTAAATGCCTGTAAATTGTAAAGCAAAGTTTTCACTTGCATATCATTTTTTTCATGGACATTTATGGGCGTAAGACAATGTGTGAATGGATAGAAATAGACGAGATAAATTATGAAATGAAATTTAACAAAATTAAAGTGTCATTTCAATTGTTTGGATATGTCTGAAAGAATAGAGAAAATTCTCCATTCCATTTTATTCCTCCTAAATTTGGATAGAGAACGAAGGTAAATAATAGTATAAAATAGAATAGATTCTCCTTGTCCTATTACTATACGTCATCCTTGTGCTAATTCAAACAATGGAGCATGATACCATTTCTTCAATCAATCCATTAGACAAAATGTTTGAGAATTATCATTTTAATATATTTAATCACATGATAAATCCTTAAATTTGTTATTCAACATCTTTTACATTGAGAAATTTACTATGAGGAGAAAAATAAAGAGCATAACTTATTAGATAGAGTGATTATACACATTATTTTCCTATCGTATCAATAATAGTAGAAGAGGTTCCTCTCCATTCAACACATGTATAAATAGCTGGTCAGTAGGAATTTTTACCAGTCCATGACTATTGAACCCAAACGCACAGCTTGGAAGCTCCCCAGCATAAGTATAACCAACAAAAAAGACTCCATTCGGCAATATTCCTTTGATTAAGTAGCTGCACTTGTAATTCCACACAGAAAACACTTCTAAAGTCGTTTTAATTACTCGAATTCTGAAACAACAACAAAACATGAATGAATTTCTAAACTTACGTGTGTCCAACAAGGGCAACGTTAGCATCTTCATTGTGCGCTGCAATAGCCATAGATTCACCAACAACAACAACATCGGAGCAATCATCTGAAGTGTCCACGATGGCACCTTTTGCTCCTTCTTTAGGAATAAACGGCAAAATTTCCTTCCTGAAGTTGATAAGTAAAATCTGTTCACAAACACACATAAGACACTAAATATTTATGTTATAATCTTGTAGATTTGATTATTTATGTATAATAAATGGTTTTGAAATTACATCAAGAAGTGACACCCCGCTTCCTGCTGCAGTCCCCAAGAGTTCATCCCAGTGCCTTGGGAATTTGCTTTTGTTGTTATGAAAAAGTTCTTTGAGAAGTGATTCTGATTGAGGGGTGTGGGCAAGGGCAAATGGTCGGAGTTGATTTTGTAGAATGAGGTCTCTGACTATTCTACTCCTTATGAGTTTGGAGAATCTTCGGCCGATTAAGAGACCCATTTCGTACGCATCTTTGCACGGTCCAACTTCGAACATCTCAAGCCTCGCCCTATCCACATTGCAGCTTCCCATTTTGTTGCAGAAAATATTCACTTCGTTGTGTGTCACCCCTATCGTAATTGTTTCAAAATATTATACGACAAGAAATAATTAATAAATAGTAATTTAGAGTGTAAATCAGTATCGCTTAACCTCCTTCAAATTCTATTCCATTTTTTTTAATACTTTTATAAAAAGGTTATTCAATAGAAATAGATAAATAAATCATCTTTAACAAAATAAAAACATTTAATATCCAACATACAAGATAAATGAACTAACAAGAAAATGTGTTAAGAGGATTTGTAGTTTTAATATTTTATGAAGAAATATTAAATAAATACACATATGCTTAATGTCTTGGAAATTTAATATTCTTAATACCTTTTTTTCTTCATAATATTTAGTAGTATGCTTTTTATCTAGTAAATTCAAAAATTTTAAAGAAATATTTAAAAGTACTTTTTATATATATAAAAAAGATGTTCTAAAAAACAATTATGCTTTTAGTTGGTGAAATTTATAATAGCTTTAATTTTAGTCATCAAAATTTTTAAAAAATTAGTTTAGTCTTTTTAAGAAAAATATGATTTTAATCCATACAAATTAAATTAAAGAATTAAAATATTTTTTTAAAAGTCCTTAAATATGATTTTAATCCTTACAAAGTAAATTAATGAATTAAAATGAATTTTTTAAAAGTAATATTTGATAAGACAAATGCCTTATTCTGTCTGATTGAATTCTCATCTTATAGGTAAATGATGTTTTAATCAAAGATACACATGTTTCACTCATGGATATTTTTATGATATCAACTATTCAATTGTTTGATTGATGAAGTGAATTAAGTTGAGACACTCCCAATAAGCAAAACATGCCTATGTGATTTGGTATGTAATGGTCTAAATCAAACAAATGCAAAACAAGATTATATATCATGGGCATGATTAATAGTAGGCAGAGACACATGTTTGCATGGAAGAAAGGTGTTCTCGCCACCTTATGAACTAAAATTCTTTTCTTAAATGCAATTTCAATGTTAAAAACCATGTGTGTTTTGAATTTTATCAAAATAGGGTAAACAGTGAAAAAAGAAACGATTTTGAGGGGTTGAAATCGTGCTTGGAAGCACAGATTTGATTGAACTCGTGCTTTCAGACACGATTTTAGTGGTTTCTAATTTTTTTTAAAATCGTGCTTTTGAAGCACTTTTTTTTTTTAATCGTGCTTTGCTTTTTTTTTAAAACATTTTTTTTAAATATTTATTTAGTAAATAATTTTTTAATTAAATTATTAATTTAATAGAAAATAAAATTATTTAGACATAGTTAAATTTAATTCACTGCATTAAAATATTACATTATTAAAAAAATACAAATTTATTGTCGAAATGGACCGTTTGCACGATTATGTTCTTCATTTCGATGAAAGAAACATTTTTTTGGTTTATTTCTAATTTGTACATCCATTTCATTTCGAATCTGATTAATTGTAGGTCTTCCTGATGTGTCTCAACGCGCATATTAGATAAGGACAAAATTTTGGACCTATATAAGTAGATCAATAATCTTCATTTTGAACCAGATGAAATTGAAATTCATATGCTTTAATATTCATTTAATACAACTTTTAATATGTATTTCTTAAATGATAATAATTCTAATTTTACAATTTCTATAATTGTCCTGGTTTACAATGACTAATAAATGTCGAGGTTTCTCCTGTGAGTTGTGTTATAGTTACAATGATATGTTTTGCTATTGTTGAACCTCATCCAACAAATCAGGTTATGAGGCAATTTTGACTTCGCCAACCAATTCCAAAAGACCCGATCAATCCTGACGAACTTCACATAGAAAACATGAGAGGTATAATTGATAGATTTTGGTCTCAATATCATGAAACTTTGATTACTATGTAGAATGACCATCACAATCGACTAATTCAAAGAAATGAGTTTAACTGGAATTACCACTTGCGTGAAAATATAGCATATATAATATGGTATTTTCAGCATACTATCAAATATATTTCCTTTACCAAGAAAAAGATTCAGATGAAGAAGTAAGTATATCAATAATTTTATTTTATATATATAACATTCATATCAAACTAATATTGATTTTACTTTTTAACAATACGATACAGAGCAGCAGGAACAACCCCAATATATTGGCGAACCTAGTCATGTCCATGTTAGTCAATCAAGTCATCAATATGTTGGTCAGTCGAGTAATCAACGTGTTGGTCAGTCAAATGATCAACAACTTTATCCATATTTTGGATATATTTGTCAACTCCAAAATTTACCTGCACAATTTTAATTTGGTGGACAAATTTCTCATACATTTATTTTGTTTCCATCGGAAATAAACATGTAAGTGTTAGTGGCAAATCGAGAAAAGCGATCGAAAACGAAGGAAAGAAAAAGCGAGAAAATATGTGACTGATTGATAAATCGATAAACAAAAAACCATTCGATGTCTAAATAGAAGTACGTAGTACATAACATCGAGAAGCACAATCGAGAATCGAGTGAATGATAACCAAATGCTTATTGTCGAATAAAAAACTAAGAAATTAGAGTTATATGAGATCAAGGTTAAAAGAAGTCGTAAGTAATTTGGAGTTCTCGAAAACATTAAAACGAGAGTGAAGAAAGTCAACCTAAGTAGACATCGAGACCTTGGCCAAACCGTGAAGGGAAGAATAGTCAAACGCACATATAGGAAGCAGTTTCTAAACCATGATAGAAGTCGAAGATCGTGAGAACGTGGGAAACTGTAAAAGATAAACTGCAACATGCACGTAAAACGTGGTGGTAGTTTTGTTAACTGCTTCTGGAAGACTTGAATGATGCCCTATAAATAGAGCAAAGGAGGAAGGGACAAGGGGGCAGAAATTGGCAGAGAACAGGATTAGTAGTGAAAAAGTCTACCGGAGAAACGACGAACACCATGAAGCTTCTGGCAATCTGGATTTCCATGCTCACGGAGTACCTTTATCGCTTTCTGTATTTTCCTTGGTAATTTATTTTGATGCAATTTATATTCAGCAATTTATGTTTCTGTATTTTCGATTCTTGGTCTTTTCGATTCAATGCAAGTTAAGTTTCCATATTTAAATTCCCTGGTCATTTTACATTAATGCAATTTCGATTTCCAGTCATCTATTGTACCTTTGATTTACTGTCCTTTACATTTCCTGCAAATTCGATTTCTCGTTATTCACATTGTTGCTGTTTCGATTCCATGTCTTTTACACTTGAAGCAAATTTAAGATTCTCGTAATTTACATTTCTTTGCAATCTAAGTTTCAGCATTGTCTTTCGATTCCATACATTTCCTGTTTTCTTTACTTCGAGTATTCTTAATACAAAACACCAAAAAATAGTACCTCTGAAATCGGATAAAATTCAATCTTCATACACATTTCGATTGAAAATTAATTTGCTAGCCTAAGCAAAAAAAACTTACGTGGTAGAATTTTGATTAGGATCAAAATATCTTACGAGTCGAAATCGATCGAAATTCCACCAGAAACAAATTGGCGCGCCAGGTAGGGGTTACTTGTGTTGAAAAACACAAAATTGGTTAGTCCGAAAGTGTATGAGATTGAGGAGTGGGAGAGTTATAAGAATGAGTCAAAATTCTTCAAATAACCAGAGTAATAGTGAGGGTCTAAATGGTGCACATTCACCAAATACTGGGGGGCAAAGTTATAATGGGAATATGCCTGTAACATCGACAGCTGCGAGTATGTCGACACCTGCGGGTAGTGAACAAAATTCAGGCGCCCTAGCAAATACCCAAGTAGGATCTAGTGTGGTAGTACCAAATAATATGCAAACTGTGGGAAACCCCACAACTACATATGTAGGGCCATATATGAGTGTAAGACCTCCCGGGGCTGGAACTTCTTCAACATAGCGGAATTCGAGATATAACTTAGGAATGCCTCAAACGCCGGGCATGCCCTGCAACTTTGGAGTCCCTCCGAATTTAGGAACATCTCAAAACTTAGTAATCCCTCGAATTCGTGAAGCTGGACAAAATTTAGGCACACAAATGACGCTTCCAAATCTAGATCATAGAGGAAATTTGGAACATGGAAGATATACATTCGATAGAGATTATCATCGATCCAATTTTGAGACTATCGAGAACACCGGTACCGGGATATCCAATAACTCATTAGGGATACTTAGACAACAAATGGATGAGAGCAATTTTGAGATGGTGAATATGTTATCCCAACAACTTGACTACAGATCCTAAACCCATTAGTTCAAAACACTACAACTAGTTTTGAGATATTAGCAGATCAAATGTCACGAATCTGGGATGCATTGGTCGTACCTCGACGAACAAGGGTAGAAAATCATGCTAACCGGAATGCCAATATCAATCCCCCATATCTTTTAAGGAGAAATCGAAACAATGATCAACAAATGGGGAATGAATACCAACATGAAAGAAATGATATTTATGGAAATATGAATGAGGGATTTCAAAATATGTATAATCAAAATAACATGCAAAATAATCACATGTTAGGACAAAGGATGAATTTCCAAGGGATAGAATTTAGATCACCCAACCAAACATACTTTGTGTCTCCTTTTCCAAACACGATTCTCGAGACTGAATTACCTCGAGGATACAAAGTACCTAAATTCACCAAATTTGTCGGAGAAGTTGGTGAATCAACTATCGAGCATGTAGCTCGATATCGATCGAATGTGGAGATCTCGCGATGAGTGAAGAATTAAAAATGAAATATTTCCCTAGTTCTTTGACTAAAAATGCTTTTACTTGGTTTACTTCGTTGCCACCCAATTCGATATATAATTGGTCTGCAATCGGAAAGAAATTTTCATGAGCAATTCTTTAGAGGAGAAACTCAAGTAAGTCTCATCGACTTGATGAATATAAAGAGATACAATCATGAAAGCATAGATGATTATTTGAATCGATTTAGACAAATGAAATCGAGATGCTTTACTCAAATTCCTGAATATGAATTAGTCA